TTTCTTCTATCTGATGGTTCAAAAAGTTTTTCATTAGTAAAACTTTAAACTCAAACAAATAATTATAAAGTGAATTTGTAAAGTATAACAAATTTCATAATATAAAAAAAGAATAATCTGTTCAATCGAAAATGCAGAAAGATCTTCCTGTAGTGAATATCCTTCAGACTTTTCGAAAATGTTCACTATAATGAGATTAAATGTTCTTTTTTTTTTTTCAGAAAGATATTTATTTTCTAGACATCTGCAAGGTATTAGAGAATAAAATAGCTGACCGAAGCGAATTGTTACTTGTCTTCCCATTGATTTTTATCTTTGAAAATCAACTATTTTCGAAGTAATCTTTGACAAACCTCTGTTTTGTTGCTTTTGAATTCAAATAAATATCAATTAGATATATGTTCCGAGGATATGTATATAAGAGTCGACAGCTGAGACTATTTGAATGAACGCAAAAAATGAAGTCTTCTAATCTTTTTCAAAACTTCAGTCTAAATTAGCATATTATTTTTATTTCTTTATGCGCTTCAGCTAATACACGGAGATATTCATTAGTACTCCTTATTCTTTTCAAACTCTTATATAGTATTCACTATGAGAGGTATTATTATATTTGAATAGCATTATGTAGAAATATATATATAAAAGTCGTTTGATTAAAATCGAGGAATGATGAATAGTAGAATTTATCAGAACAATGGTACTTTATTTTGTGAAATTCATATAGATTTTCGAAAATAATAGTGAATATAAGTTTAAAGTGGAAGTTTTACGACTTCCCTTTCTCGTTCCACTAGAGATCTTAGCTATCGAGGACACAAAGTGTAAGACTCTTTTTCCAGAGTTCATTAATGACGAAAAAATACGCTGAACGGCATTGGCGACAAGATTTAGACTGGTCTAGATAATTCTATATCATTACAAAGTCTTCCTCAAAATTTGAATAATTAAAATTACGTTTGCCCATGTTTTAAGGAACACAATTTTTTATTTTCATCTTCATAAAAGTTTATATTAAAGATGTCAAAAATGATTGATAGTGATACATTAAGCTACCACACTCATCATACGGTCAAACATAAAAAGCGTGAACTGATCAAGTTATAATTTTTAGGAAATAACAAATGTCAGTGTTTGTGAGTTTATCAAGTTATATTAATAGTGCATTGAGACCTTCTATAAACATAATAGTTATGTAAAACAGGTTTATTTACCATTTAACTCAATGGTTAGAATAATAATAATGTCAAGTTAAGAAAACAGAATACAAAAAAGAAAAAATATCTGTTGAAAATGCTACAATAAATAAGATGAATCATTTCTCTAACTATCGATTATCTCGGAAAAAAAACTATACTCTGCTAACAAGCTTTTTAAATAACATGACGATTGTTTTTTTAGAAAAAAAAAATCAATATATCGAAGAAGTCTAGATTTTTTCAAACAACACTGATTATCATCATTTGCATTGATCACATAGCAATGTTACTATTCAAAAGTTCGAATCTGTTGTTTTATAATAAAATAAGAATTTCGTCTTTTCGAAACTTTGAACTTTTATAAAATATTCAAGAGAAAATCAATTCCTTCAGTAATAATTATTCAAAACAAAAATTTAAAAACAAAAAAAATATTTCAATAGCCGTGAAAAAATATATTTCTTATTCATATGAAATTGATTTTCATCTTAGAATAAATGTTAAAATCACATTTCCAGCATTTTATACAATAGTGGAAAATATTGTTGCAAGAATGTGCAGTGCAGCATATGAATAAAAATCTTTTGACTAATATAATATTTAATTTGACATGATGAAAGAAAAGAAAGGCTAAGATATCAATACACAACACAGCAAACAAAAAATAAATATACAACTAATATCACAGTTAATGCTTAATTGCATTGCTTTTTTTCTTTTTTCTCATCAATTTATTTTCATCATATATATTATTAACATATTCGAGGTTTTTCTTCAATCATATTTTCTTGTTGATTATTAATAAGTTCTGATTGAATTTGATATTCATATTCATTATTTGGATACGAATTATTATTTATATTAGATGACGAAGATAATCGACCATTCATAGCACATAATGATGAAGATCGATGGCAAGATGAATATGGCCAATTCTATTTAAACAAAACAAAAACAAAAAGTTTAATATTTATAATAAAATAAATTCTATTCACATACAAAATTATTCGGTGTTTGAAGTGAAAGTGATGTAGTAGTTGGTGGTGCTGTTACAGCTGGTACTGGAAGTTCATCATTATCTAATATTTGTGTTAAATGAATAATATAACTTGTAGCTAAACGAAGTGTATCAAGTTTTGATAATTTTGTATCATGTGGAACCTGTTATTAATAATAAGAATAAAATAAAATAAAAAATTATAAAAAAATAAATACAAACCCATGGTAAATGAGTTTTCAGTTTAATAAAAGCTTTACTTAATACACGCATTCGAGCACGTTCACGAGCATTAGCAGCATTTCTTTGTTGCATACCACCACCAGTTGTATTATTTGATTTAACAGGAGAATTACTTGCAGTTGTCGCAACTGAATCATTACTTGATAAACGTTTGCGACCCATTCAATACGATGAATAATAAAAACTAAAATAAAACAAAACAAAAAAAAAAAGATAAGAAAATTCTCATATCTTTCTGATTGGTTTCTTTTTCTCTTTGCTATGTTTATATAAATGAATATACATATAACCAGAAGGAAAGGCATCTCTTATTCTTATACCGACTTTATCATTGTCTTGTCATCTTTCGTTCTCGTAATCACTTTCTTTATGTTTTCTGACAGATAATGGATTAGAATGTTTTCTTGCTTTGAGCAATACATGATTACATTTCTATAAAAGACACATACACATACACATTCACACATGCTCTCTGATGATTTGATCAGAGCTCTCTATATGAATAACACTTTCGTCTTTTCTTTTTCCTTATTAAAGAAAACAATAATAAACATAATGAAACTATCTAATCGAACATATGTTGTTCAATATGAATCAGTGAATCTATTTATTTCGAAATATATTATTACAGACAGAATATTTTTTATGATAATACACAAATTACTGTTAATTAGTTAGCTACTTATTTTATTACGATCAATTAATGAGACAATCTTTGCAAATACTCAATTTTCGATTTAAAGAATTTTTCGACTATAGATACAACATAATGTTCTAATAAAAGTCTTAAAATGATTTGGATTTCTATTAAGATTTGACTAAGCTATAGAATTTTTAATATGTTTATTTTCTAGAGAACCTCAAATTTTTGTAATTTTGATCTAAAACATTGTACATATAGAGAACTCAAATAGACTAAATTCTATAAAAAGAAAATTCAAAAGTTTTGAACAAAGTCCTTTCGAGATGTGAAGCTTTCAAAAGAAATTCATGTTGCATAAACTAACCCGTGGAGAAACTTTGTTCAAAACTTATAAATTTTTTCATACAAATTAGTCTAGTTAAATGTCTATATGCGTTAAGTATTAGATCAAAATTACAAAATACGAGTTGTCAGAAAATCTGTGACCTAGCAAATAAAATTCTATAGCTTAGTCAACTGTCATTTAAGATTTTTATTAGAATACGATGTTCTATCTGTAAACAAAAACAAAATCTTTGAAATCGGAAGGAAGCATTCGAAGAGATTTTCCTGTAAGAATAATTCAATATTTTGAACTTTTTCAATTACGATAAAGTGAAACATAGAATCTATTCGTTATCGCCAACATGAATGAATAATGACGTCGCTTCTTCGAACATTATAGAATCCGTTCTATAACAGAAAATTATTTTGTTTAGAGATTTTCTTTTGAATCTTAAATGGAATTATTTTATTTTCTTTTTTTGCGCAAACAATATGGATATATATTTGTCAAGACTGAATTCGATACGTTTATTATTAGTGTAGAATATTTGAAACTTACCAGATGTTTTATGTCTTAGTTTGTTGTTTGTCGTTATGGTATTGTTCTCGTGTTACCACGAAGGCTATATGATGATGATAATAGTGCAAAAAAAAAAACGAGAAGGAAAAAGAATATAAACATAAACGACTCTTTTTTTTTTGATTGGTTCTATTCTCTTTTTTCTTATTGGATTATTCTGTTAGTTAGAGTATATCAAAGAAATAATTGCTCATCCCTCCTATTCTGTTTCTTTCTTTCTTATGATACTGAAGACGACAGCCTTGGTATATTGTTGTTTTTTAATGCCCTCTCAGTCGACCTTAACCATTCGATTAGTCGAAGGAGGAGCAATATACATATTGTTTCTATAACGTATCTTTATCACATTCTACGTATCAACAAATTGACATTTTCCAGTAGGTCGAAATATGTTTAAAAAAGCATTTGTGCTCGTTCAGCTAATTGGAATATAAACAAAATCATCTTTTTCTATATACATGTGATTTATGCTTTACTCATTCAATATCATAATTGAGTTTTTAGTGTGATGGCACGTGTGTGTCACATATACATAAACTATAGTGATGTGTTAATGTTCTCTCGTTTTTTTTCCATATATCTCATCATCAATCGATCGATCATTTTCATCGTTCTATTCCAGTTGGATTCTATCTATTTATTAAGGTGAGAACAATTAGATATCGTTTTGTTTAATTGAATTTTAGAAAAAAATTAAATCAATCAATACAAAAACAAAAACCCTTTTTTTGTTTCTTAGTATTGTTCTTTTCTAATCGATAGAATAATAAAAAAGTAAATAAGCTTGAGAATGATATTTATTTACAAAAAAAAAAAACGAAACGAAATTAATAAAAAAAAGATTAGTTTGATTGAATATTGTAATTTATTGTTGTCTTTTTAAATCTTATTAAAAAGAAAGAGTCTTGATTTCTACAATAAGGAAATAAATATTTCAAATACAAAAATAATATGATAGATGTAATGCGTTTTTTATTTTTCTATGTTTAATTATTAATTAAGAAGGTAAATTGTTTATTTAATAACTGGTAAAGTAGTTGGTATTATTTTATCGTTTGTAAAAATCCGTTGTTTTATTGCGCGACCAACATTCGAATGAGGTACAAATTGTTCAATGGCATTTTCTATAACATTCACTAGATAAGAAAATAAGGTTTTCTTGTTAAAATATATATGAGAGAATACAACTAAGAAAAAAGCAAAACATACATTCGGTTTTTTCTTCTGAATCTATTTGTAGAAATTGTTGTTCTCTATCAATTAATTGAACAAAATCATTATTAGTTAAAGATCTTTTTGTTAATATTGGAACATGTTTATGTTGTTTAGCACTATTACTACGATTCGAATTATTCATTTGCTGTTTTGTTTGTGATTCGACTGGTAAATCAGGGAAACAATAAGCATTTATATCCATAATACCTTTTAAAAGTATAATTAGAAAAACTTACAAAAATACAATAGAGACAATCCGTTATGACTCAAGATCATCATGTAAAACATAAACTTCTTATATTACATAAATAACTATTTATTGTTTTATTGTTGATTTAATACTACAGAATAAAATGAAATTTTCTGATGTTTCTATGAATGAAAATATATTTTGAATCTTCTATAATATGATAGGATGGAAAAATCTATTAAATATGAATTTTTACCTAAAATTGTTCGATATTGTTTAAGCCAACTATGACAAATATTTTCAATACGTTTTCTTAATAAAATTAATTCTTGAATCATTGGTAATTGATTAAAATAAAGTTGTTCATCAGATATTTGTTGTTTTTCCAAAACATTTGATATATCATTTGAACTTATTGGATTTGATTTTTTTGTTATTGTTTGATTTTTTTTATCTTGAGAAAATTTTTTCATTGGAACTGTTGTTATTAAATCCATTGGTATTGATGATTGTGTGGGTAAATGAATACCTAATTGAAAATGAAATTTTTCATTTTGACATGTAAATACAAAATGTATATTTGATGAATTATTATATTCAAGTTGCATAAATGAATTTAATTGTAATTGAACAGTATTATCAAATAATGTTTGATTAATATTATCTTTATCATTTGAAATAGATTGTCCTTGATAATTATTATCTTTTAAATGCCATTGAATTTGTTTTTTTATAATACCTGTTTTACCATTACATAAATAAGAACATTCACGTTGATTATTAGTAATAAAATGAGCATGAAGTTTTGGTTGCATTAAAAGTACATTACCAGTGGATGTAACAAGACCAAGAAATTGATTTCCTATTGAATTTGTATCATTGAAAAAAAGTGTTGTAGAATATGATGATCGAAGACATAAAACAGCCAAACGACCAGATGGATAACTATTTTAACAAGAATTTTGGAAATATTTACAAAATAATATTCAATTTAATCGTGTTATTTCGTATGACTTACTATATTTGACTTGAACCATCTTCTAATTCAATATAACATTTATGTTTTGTTTCAGATATATCAATATCAATATTGTATTTTTCTGGAATTTCATGTCGTAAAATTGCGAGTGCAAATTTGGATTTTGGTCGTCCTATAAGAACAGATGAAATAGACGCTTGTTTTTTTTTCTTTCTAATAAAATAACTAACGATTGAATTCATTTAATGTCAAAAAATTATTCTTGTTTCGAGTAGTTTGATTATCTTCATAAAACCAAATGCGACATAATTTTTGATGTTTTGTATTCTGATTATTAGTCGTTGCAAGTCTACTTATCAAAAGAAAAAGAAAGAATATATTATTTAGTGGAAATGAAAACAAAAAAAAACAAAGAAAATTTAAAATCGAACATTTTTTGTTTTGTTTCCGCTAACAAACGTTTACATTTATTTTGAGTTAAAGCAATGATATCTTCATCAAAAGCATTTGGAGGTTTTGGTACATCGAATAAAGCAACTAATAGAACGAGAACATATATATATATATATAAGTAATAAGAACAGGAAAGAAAAGAATTTTTATTTGTTTTACTGTTTTGTTCATCTAATTGTATTGTTTTTTGTTTTGTTTCATTCATTTGTGTTGATAATTTAAATTCAACATGTATACCATTTTTAATAGTTTCAATTACATTTTCTGAAGCTCCTCCTTGATAATTTACTTTTACTAAACGTTGATTATCTTGTGACGTATTACTTCCAGTTATAGAAGCACGTGATAATGGTCGATTACAACGGATTTTTGAAGTTATTTTTAAGGATTGTCGATGAGAAAGATTTGTTAATGATAATGGACTAACACGTGAACTTGTTTGACGGCGAATGATTGATTTATTATCAGTGATGCTTTGTTGTTTTCTACGATTTATTAATTTTGAATGTTTTTGTTGAACATATTGATGCCATGCTTCTTTACCAGCTTTTGTTCGCCACACCTATTCATATGATACAAAAAAAAAAAACAATTTTTCTCGTATTGAATTGACATTAAAAAAAAACTATGATTTTACTTTGTATTCATATTCTGTATTTTGAATTAGATCAGACCACGTTGAATTTAATTGAACAATTAATAAACTTGGTAAAGATACTTTAGGTAAATTTTTTGTTAGATTAATTAATTCATCTTCATGATTAATATGTTGTTCACTATCTATAAGCGAAGATTGACGAGATTTTGATGGAATAGATGGTAATGAAGTTGTTTTAGATTTATTATCAAAGATTTGTATATTTCTATTTAATTCGTCAATTAAAATTTCAGGTACAATCGGTGTTTTTGATTTACGTAAGATTGTTTGTAAAAGTGTATCATTAGTTATTTGATTTGTTTGTTTTTTAATTGAAGTTGGTGTATTAATTTCTGTTCTATCTGAATTTTCATCTTCAATAGATGATGCTATTTTAGCATGATATAAAGCTTGATTTAAATCTTTTGAATCTCGTTTAGTTCGATAAACACCACCAATATGTGATCCATGCGAATACTGATCGAAAAAATAAAACTCCGAAGTCATTTCATATCTAAAAATTATAGAATTAACTCAATTTTAAAATGACAAAAAAAAAAAAAAATAATAATTCTTATTGCATATGCATATCAATATTATTTCTTATAGTATAAACTAGAGTACAGAATTTAGAAGAACTTTTTGTCCAGTTGTTGCTATGCCTAAAGCACCAATATTTGATGTATTTGTATTTGTATTTGTTATTGTTTGATGTTTTGCTGGTGATGAACCTAATATATGATGACCAAGTAATGTATAATCAGTAAGAAGATCTCCACTTTCCATTGCTTGTGTTTCAATTTTAGTTATAACAATATTATGTTTATTAACTTCATTAGTCATAATATCCGTCATTTGTAATAAATGATCTAAATGTGTATTTAATTGATTAAAATTAATTGCCATATCAATTTCATTGATTAAACGATCAGGTTGATCAATATATCCATAAGCTAATGAATGATGTTCTAAAAGATAATCACGAATTTTATTTAATTTATGATCATTTGCTTCTGTTTCTTTATGTTTAATATTTTTTAATTGATTAACTATATTAATAAAATCAGTATGTTCTCGTCGTTCTCGTGCTAAAGCACGTGTTCTAGCAATAATTTCTTCACGTTCTGTTGCTGAACTCTATTTTTTTTTTTAAAAAACTAAATACGTTTTATTTTAAGTTTATCTTTAAATAATTAATTTACCCAACGAATTCGATTAAATGGATCAAAATTTTGTTCAATGATTTTTAAATTATTCGAAATTTGATTTGTTTTTATTAATTGATGTTGATATGGTTTTGTTCGATTATTTTTTTTCTTTTTCTTTTTATTTAAACATCCAAAACATGCAAAACCAAAAAATGTTCCATTTGCACAAGCACCACAACATTTTCCCCCTTTAACTTCATTTAAATCTTCTGCAATATCTTTTATTTCTTTTTGTAATCTATTTATTAAACCATAAGATCGTTGCATTGAATCTCCTTGCATTATTAATTTTCCCAATGTTTCTTTTGCCATTAATTCAGTAAAATGTAATTGATTAACAATATTTTCTGTTGCTTGAACATCTTCATCTAATAAACGTTCTTTACGATTTCGAATAAGACTATTACGAAAACGATTGATTATATCTGTTGTTTGTTCAACAATTGAACTTCCACCACCGCCATCAAATGTTCCTGTCGATGTACGAGAGCTGCCTCTCATTTTATTGGAATGAACAAGCAAATAATTCGATGAGAAAAAAAAAAGAAAACAAATATTAAATAAAAAAAAAAAAAAAAAAAAAGAATTGGAGACGCGCCTCGAGAGAAATTAAAACGAGAAGTAGAAAGAAAAATCTTTATCATCGTAATTGTGTTAGTGTAACAATAAAACAAATATATATATATATAGGTTCTCTCGGAAACGCTATTTCAAACAGTTATTAAGTGTTGAATGTGCTCTCCAAGGTGACGACAGAGAGAAAAACAAACGTTACATTCTGTTTTTTGACTTGCTAAATAACAAAAACATTTTTTTATTCTGAAAAATTTTATTCAATGAGCAATATCATTTCTCACATAAATGAATTAATAGTTCTGAACGATGTATACAAAATTCATATACACTACTGACTTTACCTTATACGGTCCTACTTTGGCGTATTAGATGCCTTTGTATTATGATCGTATTTCTTCATATTGTTATATTGAGAAATATGGCCGTTTACAGCAAGATACAGAGTAAAATGGAAGTCATATAAGGACTCGATAAATGACCACGTTTACATCTGTAAATGATCGTATTTCTCCGTATACAATACGAAGAAATATGATCGTAATGCGAAACCATGTAATACACTAAAATACGACGATTTACGGTTGTTAACAAGCATACTTATTTGATCTGAGAGTTGAAAACTTTGTTTTCGAAATATTCAAGACACAATGTCTAACGTATTCGACAATTCTTTAATATAGAAATGTTTTATTAAAAAAAACAGAAACCGAATGTGTGTTTAAGAGTGTTAAAAATATTATTTCAAGTTGAATTTTAATTTCTTTTCGTTTGTTGACTAGTTCATTAATAAAATGATTCTTTTCTCTTTTTTTTTTCTTTTCATCGTGATGTTGGAACGTAACATTACAGAGGTTATTTTTACTAAAGGATACCCTCATCTTAAATAAAGAATTCTCAAGGGTCAAACAAGCATTCATCTTATTATGATTTTCATAATTTAAATATATATGTTAAAATGAAAAAAAAAGAAACTTGCTAACAGAATAAGCAAGAAAAAGAATATTGATTCTACTAGTAGTTTATTTAGAACGTCATTTTAATTGTTGAGTTTGAAAGTAAAGAAAGACGAACAGTAGAGAGAGTGAGACAGAAAAAAGTTAAAAGAACAATGACTAGAAAATAATATTACTACAAATGATAAACGATACAAACATATTTCACATAATTGAATAAACATTGAGACATAATTTAAGTTTTTTACTAACTAAATGATATATTATTATGCGTCAACATTTTATTCAATAAAAATGATTAACTTATAAAATACATGACGAATGAAAACGCAAAGAAACAATTCTTTACCAACAAAAAAAACATGTTTGTAAATCGTATTTTTGATGGATACTTTCTATAGATAGTCAACTCCAACAAAACACAACATTTTCCGAAGGTTTTTTCCACTGTAGAACTTGTTATGCTAATTATTTTAGCAAAAAACAATATTCGACTTTACGCAATAAATCATAGTGTTACGGTCAAAATACTCGAAAATGTCAATTACTGTTCAACAGCAGTCAGGAATTATCGAAATTTTTGTGTATTTTGATTCTAGCACTATGATTTATTGAGTAAGTTTGAATCTTTTTTACCAAAATGCTCAACGCAACGAGCTCCATAAAGTTCTACAAACGAAAAAATCTTCTGAGAAGCACGTGTTTCTTTTTGCAGTTGATTATTCATGAAAGTATCCATAAAAAATACAATTCATAAGAATTTTCTTGTTGATAAATAGAATAGATGAACTGATTTTATTTTGACTAAAATAAATTAGTATAGAGCTAAATCAGTTTAATTTAACTGTTTATATGAATGGATTAAGTGAAATCATAGTATAATTGATTAGTTCATGAACTTTTTCTATTTTTATGATTCATGTATATTCTCGATTTATATCTCAATTACTATGTTTTCTTATTTATTATTTGTATAGTTGCTTTCAAAAAATTGGTAATCAATTATACATAATTTTTCTTGTAAAAAGAAGTAAAAAACAAAACTAAATACAGAAAATATTTTAATGTACAAATATTCATAAGAAAATAAATAAGTCATTAAAAAATGACTATTATGAAGTACGAATTTCAGCACAAAATTTATAAAGTGGACATTCTGATTGTGTCCATGTAATTTTGCAAGAATCATTCGATTGATTAATTTTAGAAAATAACATATTAAGATAAGTAGTAAATTTATTTTGTTTATCCGTATCAGCAATATTTATTTGTTTTGATATTCGGATCGAAATATTGTTTTTTTCTATTTGTTCAATAATTGACCACCAATCATTAATTAAATTTTCAAGTAATATTTCATCTTGAATATCAACATAAATATTCAAAGAAAAATATTTTATCATTGACATTATCGGTTGTATTTGTTCGAAAAAAACCATTGTAATCCGATTAGATTTACATTTAAGTTTAATTATCGGAACTTTTTCATAAATAAGAATTTGATTTGTTATCCATGAGCTTAAATTCTTAAATGTTTGTATTAATCCAGATAGTTCGAGTCTTTTTAGTTTTGGAATATGATCGAAAAATGATTCCTTGATCGAATGAACATCAATGGAGATATTTGTCAAGTAAAGTACTTCAATATAACTTTGTCCAACCAAAGAACATTCAATATTTCTCATTACATGAGAATTTATTAATTCACATATATGAAGACAAGATATTGAAAATATAGTCTCAACTAATAATGCTTTTATAGTTATAGATTTTACGGAAAGATATTCAAGTGAATTAAGTTCTGGAAGAATTTTACAAATAAGAAATGTTTGTCGAGGATGTATTTCAATTTTTAAAGCTCGTAATCGAGTAAATTTTGAAATATTTTTATTGAGAAATTCAGGTAAAAAACCATATCGAGGCTTAGCAATCCACTGTAATGATATTATACGATTAAGTATTTCAGGAGAAGTGCAATGTATAATCGAAATAAAACTTGAATGATCATTTTTATTAAATTGAACATTGTATAAAAGATGACGAGAAGCAATTAATTCATCAAAATAATTATTTAAATTGATGAAAGCACGAAAGAGATCATGTGCTTCTAAATAAGAAAATATTGAAAACCATAGTTCATTCGATAAATATTCGATATGTGTTACCATGGTTTTTTTTTCTTTAGATGAATATTGAATTATTACACAATAGTGATGTAACATAAAACAGAATGAGAAAAAAAACGCATGTCGTCATTCAATATATATATATTTTTTTTTTTTGCATTTCTATTTTTATGGAATTTAAACAAATAAACTATGGAACAATACATTTAAAAGAAACAAGAAACCAATCAGCTTTTATCAAAAAATGTCGAACTTTGATAAGCAAAATAGACGCAGCCTGGGACGATGATTAAAGTATTCTTATTTTTCGTCGTTTTTACGGTGAGATATCCTATTGAAATGGAGCGTAATATTTCAGCAAGAAATTAAAATATGAATTTAAAGGTGGTGTGGGTGAGTACGAAGAGAAGATTCACACCCACACCCTTCATCTATAAAACTTGCTCAATTTCATCTCCGTCTAAGTGTGACACATATGCTTTACTAAGTGGTCACCTATATTAAAATATAAAATATTGACTTGTTTACCAACAAGTAGAAAAGACACTTTTTTACTTACTTGCTAGTTAATATGGAAATACATGTTTATATATTTATAAATAGACAAGCAAAAGCTGTATTTAATAAATACAGATAAATATTAAACATTTGATTCACTATGTGCTACTAGATAAATAAATAAAATATTTGCTTATATACTAGTAAAGTACAGGTCAAATACTTTCCCTGTCCTAACCGAATACAAAATAGTTTTGATTCATTCGACTTTATACGCTGAGATGACAGAATGAAATGAATGCTTTATATCAAAAATGGAGCGTGCAAAAGATGTTTTATACAGGAGGAAGCGCATACACTATGATACTTTGATTTCTTCTGTACTGTTCATCTCACCTTCAATAAATAGTCCTAAAAAAGTAAATTAGATAATTCTTTTATAGACCGACCAACTGTATGTTGAATTCAATTACACGACAAAGTATTGCTCTGCAGGTCGACTTAAATTTAATAATCGAGTGTACCATAGTGGTTGTTTCGTATGTGTCCTCTGCTGTAAGCCTCTAAGTAGCACGGCGATCAACAATATTCACCCTTACTGACATTGGTCAACCTCGACGTTCGCATTGTGATCTAGCCCTTGGAAAAAGGTAGTATAATCTATACGAGTCTCTCGTTGAAGAAGGAACGATCATCTTCTTTCTGAATAGGTGGTATTCAGATTGCTCTTGTTGTAGACAAAAGAGGCATTGCCACACAAGACTTGAAACATCATTGTACAATCTTTCATCGTGAACATTTCGAACCACAATGTTTCAAATGTTCACAACCTCTCAATACTAAGTCTACAACATTCAAAGATCAAAATTATCATAATACAGTGCTGACCATAATTCTCTAGCCCCGCTGAAGTTTATTGATAGTTCAAGCTTTTGACTTGAGATTTTGGCTACATGTGTGTAGTGAGAAATGCTGATTGTTGACACCGACCCAACATCAAATCAATTCAATGTAATAGGACAGAGTTATACACCAAACACTGTCTTTACCTTGGATTGTTCATATCTCTGCCATATTAGCACTTTAAATGTCGCGGAACCCATCATTCGAAAGCTTGGTTATTAAGCTTTCTCCAACAAAACTTTCAGCAGAAAAGTCCTTCACATTGCTGAGATATCATTCTGTTAAAGGATGTCTACGGAATCTCAGGTGTGATGATTTTCAATTGGTCACTACGAAAATCACTTTTAGATTAACCAATTCACTTGAAAATTTTTTCTCAGCATATTGATAGGTCCACGAATGTTTTCCGAAAGTTTCAGAATTATAACGCATGCTAAACTGAAAATACAATGATGTAGTGATCTCACCATTGCATACTTCATCAATCACTTATATCTCAATGAATTCAAGCGTTCTTTCTACCCAGCATTGTAGACATTAGGAGCTATATTTATCACTAGGAAAATTGCCTATAAAGCGTTCAGCAATAGAAAAATACCATTTTTCTTGATGTGAACAATCCAAGGTAAAGACAGTGTTTGGTGTATAACTCTGTCCTATTACATTGAATTGATGTCGGGTTGGTGTCTACGATCAGAATTTCTCACTACACACATGTAGCCAAAATCTCAAATCAAAAGCTTTAACTATCGATAAACTTCAACGGGGCTAAGGAATTATGGTCAGCACTGTATATATTGAGAAGATTATTTTAATGAAAATCTTTACATTTTCGATAATATCTTTATAACATTTTATCATTCGAATGTTGCTAAGACCTAACCATCTACAGAGAGAATCTATCCTTCAATTTGATAAAAGTTTCGTTCGGTTATAATTAAATATAACTAAATATTATTTTTAGTAATGAATTAAAGAAAAATGATGATAATAAATGTTTTATTATTATTATTAATTAGTATTGTTATAATTGCTGATGATCGTCTTATTGAAGTTGCACAATCACCTGAGTATCAATGGAATAGTGTTGCTTTAACAAAAACAAATCGTACATCTAAAACAATACGTCCTTCCATTCGAACAATAGTTGGATCAGCAAATTTTGTTGATGGATGATCGTAGAGAACACGACGTACTTGATCATTTTCTAAATTAATAATAACTACTGAACCTAAACCAGATTCAGTTAAATATGCATGTCGAGAACCAATTCTAACATCATTTAAAGCAAATTCTAGAGGTGGATTTAAACTTGATGTGTAATAAATTTGTTCAACTATATTTACATTAAGATTAATCTTAACAAGTTTTGAACGATTTACGAATGTTCGACTTCCAAATAGACCAGAATCAACAACCCAAGGATTATCATTTGAATCAGTTAAAATAGCATTTACATTAACAAAACGTTTTTCTGAATTTTCGGATGAATTTGTTGGATTAAATGTATTACAATCACCATCAGGAATTAGTTTAATAGTGTTGCTCGATAAGTTATCTCATATTTCTTGATCTCCAATATACACATGTTGACTATCTTGAATTATTTCTCTTGAAAAAAATACTTATCTACCTCATTTGTTAAATCTTTCTATGGAATATAAATCACTCATGATGATAACAAATAATTTTATCAATGATCCAACGCACTTCAATTCAGTGAAATTAAAGTCTTGATGTACACATCTATCGTTTGTTCGTCCAGAAAATTTTCATGAATATTTTTCTTTGTTATAAATTGTTTCAATAAAAGAAAATACTTGGAGAAGATTAAATATCTTTTATTGAAACTATGATGCAACAAAAAACATAGATATAAAAATACGCAGGCAGACAAGGGTATATTTAACGAGTAAAAACGCATAAAGATATGTACTTTTTACCGTGAAAAAACGAACTTGTTTTTTGAAAAAAAAAGACATTTGTGAAGGTTATCACCTTCAAACTCGTTTGTTTTTCAAAACAAAATTTTTTTAAAGTCTAAAAAGCGCACATTTTTACATGTAGAAACACGTATTTTCATTCATTTTGTCTGACTGAGAGGGTATTCAACAATGAAAACAAAAGTGTTTTTTCTCAGATCGAAATATGTATCTTCCAAAAAAAAAAAAAAAGATTCATGGTAGGAGTCAGTTATGAAACAACTCTAATAATGTATAAAGAATAAATGAAGAATTTACAAAAGCAAAAAAAAAAAAATATGGTGATAAAAAGTGTAGATTGTTCTTCTTATAAAAGAAGTCATTGTCTTAAACTGAAATAGTTGGTTGTTAAAATTGTCTTTGATAAACTTCATGTTGTTGGTGGTGAAATTTATGAGTATTTAGTTCAACATGATCAAGTACAAAACTATGGTAACCTAAATTTAAAATATCAAAAAACTATAAACTAATAAGCGTGAAAATTATTCAAGAAATGTAGCTGGAATATGTTTTAATTACTTTTTGGTATATATTTTATTCCATACATTGCTGCATCGTCAAATGAAGCTGTTAATATTTAATAAAAGAATAATAAAGTGATGGATACATCCATAAGAAATCATAATAGAAAATATTAAAGAGAAAGGAAAACGTCATGATCCATTCGAGGTCAAATAGGCTCAACCAATTCAAAGTAAATGAAAAAAGATGATTGACCTTTCTATCTAGCAACACTAATTCTATTGGGTAGTTCATTTTCAATTGGTCCAATCTCTTTATTACTCTTCCTTCATCGAACAACATGACGGTATTAATATTTCTCTGTCATTGCTCTAATGGACGTCAACAAGGAAATACAAATATATATATAGATTGACACGATTACATTATATGAATTAAACATGAACAAATCTAATAATGTTCAACACAATATACTTGATTTACCTGATGAAGTTTTATTCATCATTTTCAAGAAACTCAACATGATTGATGCTTTTTATTCACTTTCTGATATCAATCAACGATTTAATCGATTAGCACTTGATTCTCTTTATATTCGTCATCTTGATATGACCACTATTACAAACATGAATTCACTCTATAACCAAATCTCTTCAATAGATCCTCAACTTCTTTCAAGAATTTGTCAAAAAATCTTACCTCGAATTCATCATGAAGTATATAAACTTACTGTTGAACAAGATTCAATGAACCAAATTCTTCTTGCTGCCAATTATCCTAGACTTTACTCATTATCGCTTATAAATTTTGAAGAAGAAATAATTTATCAATATTTAACAGGTATAGTATTTGATTCTTTGAACTAAGAAAATAATCAATCTAGTTAGATAAAAATTTATTTTATTTTTTAAAGATAATTTGGTTCTTCGTGATCTTCTTACCAAACAAATAACACATCTTAATATTGATATAAGAAAACCAGTAGACCACTGGTCGGATACTCTTTTAAATATTATTGCATTAATCTTATCTTTATGTAAAATATTAACTGTTTTGAATTTTGGTGATATGTTTATCACACGAAAGTTTAAGATTCCTTTTTTTTTTCTGTCATCAGAAATTAGTATGTCATCAACTTTGATGAAATTGACAATCAATGTCTTGAATTTTGCTGATTGTCGTTGTGTGGTTGATGGGCGTTTTCCATGTTTATCAACATTAATTATTAACGTTGATAATGTTTTGGACCCAATGGGAGATATAGGTGAAACAGTAAGTATAATTTTGAATGATCATGCTTATAGAAATAATAGTAAACCAAATAAATTTATTTTGTTTATAGAAAAAACTTCCCAAATTGAAATCTTTCTCATTCACGTCATTTTTTCTGACATTTAATTATGATACTTTGATTGTTCCATTACTTTGTCAAATGATAAATCTTGAAGAATTAAAATTATATCTACATGTAGGAAGATCTAATTCGACTTTTATCGATGGTATTCAATTATATGATCAATTTCTTATTCATATGACACAATTAAAAAAATTTACATTTAATATCAAGACAACCGCCTTCAAAAATAAAAATAACACTAGAGTTGAACTTCCGTCGAATGAAGATATTCAACATAGTTTCATCGGAAGAGGTTATCAACAAGTAGTTCCGTATGTTGACACGAAATCATCTGCATGGGATGGCGAATGTCATATCTATTCACTGCCATACGACTTCGAATATTTTGTTAACCTCGACAATTCTTTTCAAGGCGGCATGTTTCATAAAGTTCGAAAATTAACGATATGTGGTAGAGATCCTTTGGAATATAAATTATTTCAAATCATTTTTCATGATTTTCCTTTTCTCAATCTCTTATATATATCAAATAGATATCCAATAAAAGACAAACAATATTCATCTAAATTGATCACATTTCCTTATCTCACATTTCTTGATCTTCAATATACACATGTTGATTATATCGAATTATTTCTCTTGAAAAAAAATACTTATCTACCTCGTTTGTTAAATCTCTGTATGGAATATAAATCACTCACGATGATAACAAATAATTTTACCAATAATCCAACACATTTCAATTTTGGTAAATTAAAAAGTCTTGATATATGTGAATCTTTTGTTCGTCCAGAAAATTTTCATGAATATTTTCCTTTGTTATAAATTGTTTCAATAAAAGAAAATACTTGGAGAAGATTAAATATCTTTCTTTTTAAACTATGGTGCAACAAAAAACACAAGTATAAATATAATGAATTCGTTCAATTTTCTCACACAGATAGAAAAATCATTGATTTTATTTTTATGTTTACATATGTCAATCAAGACAATTGTGGGAAATAAAATAAACTGTTTACATAGATTTTATACAGAAAATTATTTCTTTCGCTTTTCTACTAAATTCTTATGAATCATACCGATTTAAAGATAATATTTGATCATTATAGTTGTACGACAAGGAAAAAGATGATGGCATTGGAATCTGTTGAAAGAAGTCCAATATTTGATTTATTAAATAAGTATTATCTAATTCAAATGATGATTTAGACATGATTACATCAGACATTCTTGATAAACAATGTTCATACAGACCGGAAGAAGTATATGTATATCAAGAAGAATTTGTTTCTTTGATGAATTATAATAAAGAATATACATGTATAATAAATATTATTTGTTAGATTAGTTTTTTTTAATTTTAATTTAGCAAAAGATGGCGAACGAGCTAAACCGATTTGCTGTGATGCTCAACGATCAGTTCAAGCTCCAGTTGAAGGTGATCCAATATATCGAAGTATATTTAATCTATTGAATTGTTTCGTTATTAAATAGGCGTTTTTCCTCTCTGGTTGATTATCGTAAACGGGAGCTGGTCGAATTGAAGCAACTCGACATGCAAAGACGTAACCATAAATTTGCTTCGGGGGAGTGCCTACTAGCAAAAAAATTTTTGACTTATGAATTATTTTTTAGACCTGTACCCTTCTCCAGACATTTTTTTTGTCCAAAGGGGGTGCCGGGGCATCCAGGGCACCCTGTGACTACGCTCCTGTCAACATGGGGTGTGGATGGGTGTGGGTGTGTGGATGTGGATGTGGGTGTGGGTCTTATCGTCAGTTATTCTGCCACCCACACCCACACCCCACACCCCACCCGCACACCCACCCACACCCTCAAGACGGAATAGCATCATAGAAGATTTAATATTATTTGCTGTTAACGTTTGATTCTCAGGTACAATTAAACCTTGAAGAACAAAACCATAGGGAAACACTGCAAGAATTGCNTTTTCGACACATTTTAGAAACAACAAATAACTGATGCATTGCTTGTCAGTGGGTCTCTCGCGGTTTTTCGAAAACTATTACCACCTTGAAAAAGTGCACGTTAGACTGTTCTATAGCACAACTTGTTATTAAGATTGACTCTCACGCTTTTCTCTCGAAAATATATTAGAATAAGTGTTTCTAAAGTCGTATAGTTAAATTGCAATGATCTGAACTTCATATGAACGATAAAAATTGCAGTAGATATCAAAACAGCCACTCCATATCATTTTTGACACTGAAAAAGGCTTAATTCTTTTCTTTTTGCAGTCTTGAATCCTACTGCTGCTATGTTGTTGATGGACTTGGTTTGTAGGTCTAAAAATTTGTTAGCCTCCTCTTGTAAATAAAAAACAGTTTTGCATTAATTTTGATTAGTAGTAGACTTACATATATTTGTCAAAGTAACCTTTGAAACCCCCTGTATGCTCTTTTCATGTTATAAACGGGTAATGTTAATAAGATCAATTATATTAATATATCAATTATTTTTCTTATTATTTAGAAAAAGACGTGCCTTAATACTATATAGCAAAGATTTTATGTACGAAAAAATTACTGTCTGTCGATTATTTTGGAACCTTTTATAAAACTGAGATGCAGAAAATTGGTTATGATCAGCAAAGACATAGATGTGCTAAAGGCAAGTTAAATGCACTCACTATTTAGCTCTTTTGAGAAGCTGTTATAACTAATAGATCAAGATGTTTCGAAGAAATATAATAGTGAGTATGGATTATCTAATGCTTGACTGAGTCTATCATGAAGAAAAACGCGTGACAATTCTTGTTCAAAGAGTTCTCTGTAATAAAGCATAAACTGAGGATTATGTCTTTAAAATGTTTTGAGATATTTGAGCCTCTCCAAGCCTCCATTATGCCACTTTAGGGGAGGCTCGAGCCTCCCCAAGCCTAATGGCTCGGCCGCCCATGTTTCTATTTCTATCGTTATTTTCTTAACTAAATATTCTGAGTCTGAAAAAAGACTTTGTCTTATCAGACAAAATATAGTGACACAAGAATTCTTTCCTTTACAAATCACTGTGACCACTGTAGGTCAAAGTTCAGAAAGAATATTACTCACACAACTGTCTATATTTCATCCAAATCAAATTAATTGCTCCGGCTAATCTACAGAAAGTCAAAGATGTCAAAGTCAGGAAAATACTGATATCGACACTATTACTTCTAACTGATTGGTTAGTGTTGTGTGACTGCATTTTAAGACGTCCTAGAGAGAAAAAATTCTATCTTTTGGCATTGATTATGTTATTTTTTTTTTTAGAACTCATGCTTTTTTTCTGGTGTCGAGAAATTCATATTTATCTATGATCTTATTTGTATAAGTAATAAAGATAAAATATCATTTCTTCGAAAACAAATAAATACCATTATCACAAGAATTTTTTTCTATGCATGTTTCCATACACTTTTTTCTATTCATACTCACTCAAGAGCATTTCTTATTACTTTTTGATGTCTATTTAAGATTTTTCAAATAAATAAATGATGAAATGTCTGACATGCAGGGTGTTTCATAAGTCTTGAGACGCAACAAAATTAGTTTATATGGAGACACAGAACAATATCTAACCTTTATGTTTCTATATTCGCTTCGAGTACTCATGCCGACCTTTCAAATGGTATATTATTAAATAACATCTTCCCTTATAATAATAACAATATAAACATAATGATTTCATGATAAATCTTTTGAAATCGATCCGTAAGACATTTTATCGAGAAAGGAAAAACACTCTAGATTATAAATTCAAAAAATAATCTCATTACACAAAAATCTTATTTAACTCTTATGGATTTGCTCTCCACTGCTTTTTATCACTTTGTTAAGTCTTTTAAGAATCTCATCGATCTTCTTTTTACAATCATCAAAAGGGTTTTTTCATTCTTTGTTCAATCTAATTTTCAGTTGTTGAAATCTTGAAAACTATTCTTCATATACTTTTTCCTTTAATATTTTCTATACATTTTCGATAAGTCAGACATCAGCAAATTTTGCATTACTTTCTTTAGGTGAAATTCGATTGCAGCTTGTAGAACAACCTTTATTCTCTATTTTGAGTCTGTATCATCTTGACACGTAGCGTCCTAATTGCGACCACTTTTTCGTTAATTGGCTTAATTTGTGATCGCAATTTGGAATGAATAAAATAACGCTGATATTGATTTGATGCTTTTCCAAATGGCGACCACTTTCATTAATTAGTTATTGTAATATTGAATTGAGTTATATTCTATCGATAATATAAATACAGATGTGTGTGTATATCCTCATGTTATATTTTAAATTATGGATAATAACTTTTCTTGGTCAACAACTGAAAGAGGTGACAAGGCCATCTTATATAATAATTATTTACATGGATTAAAACGTGTGAATCAGAATGGCACGTTAATTTATGTCTGTACTTTCAAATCTTGTTCTCGTGCCATTACTTTAAAAAATGATGCAATTGTGAAATCAAATAGCTTGAATCATAACTGTTGATTACTTCATAACTAAAAAGTGGTCGCAATTTGGAAACGCAACAAAAATGAGATGAACGTTATTTTCTACATTCCAAATTGCGACCACTTCTCTTAATTGGCTTAATTTGTGGTCGCAATTCGGATATAGCCTCTTGAAATATGTTTTATCCAGTTCACACCACATAATGAGCTTATAGTTTCACTCAACATGTGATTAGTGGCTCGTAATGAGCGTTGAATAAACGAGTAAGATAATTAGTTATTAGTTACCCCTACGTTATTTCTTATATACACATGTTCAGTACTTTATCAGAAAATCTTTAAAAATATATTATTTGCCGATTTCTAAAAATTTATCATTATATTATTATCTTTATATTTTTATTATTATAAGGGAAGATGTTATTCAATAATATATTATTTGAAAGGCCGACACAAGTACTAGAAGCTGATATAGAAATATAATTGTTAGACATCGTTCTGCGTCTTCATATAAACTAATTTTATCGTGTCTCAAGACATATGAAACCCCCTGTATCTATCGAAATTCAAATAAACATCACAAAACAATTACTGTCATGGTATCAGTTTGCACATGAGAACATTATCTGATCGTTAATATTTGATAGATGTATTGAAACTTATGAATATCAATGATTAAAACAAGTCAACGTTCATTTGTTTCTATTGCGTACTATATATAGGTTGATATTTTTCCAATCTGTTTGAAGAGATTTATAGATGCACCCTTTTCTTCTGGAAATATTACTATAATAATTAAATGTCTACAAGGTTTGATTGTGCATCCCAGAATTCTGGAAGAAGCTTCGTTGCAGCCGATAGCTTTTTTTGTTTGAAAGAGCATGTCAAGGTGCAGGGCATGACAGAGCTCCTTTTTTTGAATTAACTTTTCTTACTATTCTATAAGAGTACTTTTATAATTCAAGCACTATTTTTGAAACATCGAGTTTTTTCACCCCTGTTTTCTCCTTAAAAAGTACAAATTTAAAAACCCATTCTGTTATGCCTTTCATTCTGACATGTTCTTTCCAACAACAACAAAAAACAAAGTTTACAGAATGACAATCCACATAGAGAATTTTGCGTTACCACATGAGCTTTTTTTGGCTCTTGTTTGTTAAATACTTCCTGAAAACATCATGACATAGGACTGAAAAGTTTACTGTAGCTTTTCCACTAGACCTCTAAGATTAACCGATAATTTCATGCAATCTGAATATTTCTGGACCAAAATCAATTTTCGAGAGGGTCCTTAAGTTAAAGTAAATGAAAAAAAGATCAGATATCTTATGGTTTATAACATGATACCTGAGAAAAAGAATTATTGAATAAAATAACACAATAAATATTCATGAAGAAGACCTTGGCTTTGTTCAAAAATCTTTTGCATTGACATAGTTGTTATCACTAGTTATTAGATTTGATGTTCATAACGTATATTCTAGGTATGGCAAGCAGGCAAACTAAGCTGTCGGTTTGATGTTCTTGTCGACAAAATTAAAAGCAGAAACGTATCATGCTTAGAAAGAAATAACAAATTGTACATTATTTGAAGAAATTTACCAGACAGTTTGATATTATGTTCAAAGATATTCGAAATTCGACTGGATCAGCAATTCATTTTCCGTTAATGTTTCATTTTTTGCCTGATTTCTTTTTAAATTTGCTGCCCTCATTCGAAATATAATTCTAAGTAGAAATAACACTACCTGTAATTAAACTATAGTTCCTTACACGTTTTTTTATTGAAGAGAAATTGTATTTATTTAAGTTTTGGTAAATTTGGAAAACGACTTTGAACTTTATCATTTAAAAGAAAAAGAATTATACTAATAGCACTGCTTGCATACTTTAATCCGATAGGCCACAGTATTTTATAATAAGAAAAAGTTCTCTCTTTCTTCTCATTAAAAAATGACCTGCAACGCACATATGAAACAAGTAATGACACTTGAATGTAAAGAAGCGTTCATTTATCTTCTACTTTTTCATTATTATCGTAAATAATCTTAGACGTGACGATTTTTCATAAATCAACTGATAAGAAAAGATTTACAATTATTCAACTCATTATATAATTCTTAAAAGCATTATTTCAATTTATTGTTCAAACCATGAATCAATTTGATAACAGTTCGCGTCAATTTATGATTATCGCTGGTATTGTTACGACTATATTTGGTTTAATTGGAAATATTTTGAACATTTGTGTTTTTACTAATTGGTCTCGATCTCGAACAATAACAAACCAACGACCTATAAAAAGTCAAACAAGTAATAGTCCGTTGTATCTATTAGTTTCTTCCATAGCTAATATAATTGTCATTGCCTATCCATTATTGACTCGGATTTTATTCGATGGTTATGAATATCCAATAACACAAAACAATATGATTTTTTTATGTAAATTACGATATTATGTTTTACATTCATTTGATACCATATCTTGGTTATGTCTTTCTATGGCAATATTTGATCGATATTTAGTATCATCACGAGAAGCTCGTTTAAGACAATTAAGTAAAACAAGACAACAAACAAAATTAATTATTTTATTCATTGTTTGTTTAATCGGATTACATAGTATACCAATTGCTATTTATTATAATGTTTCAACATCTGGTCATTGTATCATTTATTCAACTAGTTATTTATTTTATTATCGATATGCAATGCAAATATTTCTTCATGGTATAGTGCCAATTATTTTCTTTTCAACATTTGGTTTTTTAACATATAAACAATTAAAAATGATTAAAAATAGGCAAAATACTAACAAAAATATAAATGTAGATAAACAATTATCACAAATGCTTTTATTAATATCTATTACTATTGTAATATCAGCTATACCGTATTCTGCTGAAAGTATTTATTATTTAATATTTGTAGATAATGGTCAACAGCAAACATCAGATGTTCCTTTTTTCCATATTATATCTTCACTTTTATTTTATACAAATTCAATATGTAGTTTTTATGTCTATTATGTTTCAACCCAAAATTTTCGTGTTCAAGTACAAAAACTGATTTGTTGTAAAAAAGACTTAAATAGATTTATGAATAATCAAGTCAATACAATAACCAGTGCCCAATAATTTTATTAACAATAAACTTTCAAAAATAAATATTTTTTTTTTATATCTTAAAAGAACATAAGAATGTAATAATTTAGTTATGAATACTGAATCAAAATAAAAAAAGGATGTTCATATATTTCAAATTTTTTCTATCCAGCTGCGAAAATAATACTTCACGACGTAAAATATGTGAAGATAATTATTCTGATATGTACTTCCGGTTTTATTTATACCTATTATAAATAAGAAATGTCTAATTTTCAATAGTTGTAATTAGTAACAGAAATTTTCATATGTTTATGGAGTTCAAACAAGTTCGAGTTGAGCATTATATGAGATTGAAGTAAAAAACAAAGGACAAGTGTAAGGAGCATGAGTACTTATGTAAGAGGTGTTTCATATGACTTTTAAAGGTTTAGAACTTCAAGCAAAATTTAACTACTTATACATGGTATTCAATGAACTAAACAACTATGGTAATTGGAATAGTTTTAGAAATGGTTTGGGTGTGATTGTGTGTGTGAATGTGAATCTTCATTTCTCCCATACCCACATCTTTTTGTATAATTTATTTTGCATTTAAACTGTTTTATACTATTATTTTTTAGTAATTTTACATTCTTCTTTTTTGAAAAAGAGCAACAGAATTTTTTTTGTGACGAAATTGAACAAATGTTCAAGTTATGTATACACCATAGAACTTGAAAGAAATTATTTGACTATTTACTCAAGCTGAACACCACGAAAACTGTCTTGTTCTTTCTGATTTTTAGATTAAAAAGTAAATTGTGCAACAAAATATGTTGTTTATTTATTTGTACTTTCATATCGAGTTTTATGTATCAGTGTATTGTTCAATTGTCCTAATTTTGTTTTTTTTTGTGTTACTTATACTGCAATAATATAAACTATATTGTGTTAAATAATCATTTTATATCAATGTCGAGTTTTATTGTATTTCATTACATTGAATGCAATTTGTCTCGTTCAGTTCCTGTCTAGTTTAACTATATTAATAAAAGTAGATGAAAAATGATCGTGACTAACGATAAATTGATCGAATGTTGATGATAACAGAAGCTTTCAAAAGAAAAAATAGTTAATATTATCAACCAGTTTTTCATTTCCGCACATACTACTATTTCTGTATCGATTCGTAATAAAATTATTAACTCGTACAAATGGAACAATGGTGTAGTGTATTTCAACTATGACAGATATATATTTTAATCAAAATCAAATTAAAATAAAACTTCACTCAAACTTTTGATATATTTAAAGTAACATCGATGCATTCATGTGTATCTCAACGTTGATTTTCTATATTGGTCTTCTGTAAATAGTTTTAAATTTATAGTTAAATTTAAAAGGTTGATATTTTTCTTTTAATTCAACTTTTTTCTTGCATTAATATTCAATTTCAGTCTTTTTTTTTGATTAAATCAATAAATATATCAATTAAACTCTTCTGTGACTTTACTGTACAAATTGATTTTATATTTTGTCATATGTGATGTTGAGAAAACACTATTTGATTGAATGATGACATTATTTTAAAATAATAATTAGAAAAACTACTAGTAAGTTGTTTGATAATGGCATTTCTAATAATAATAATAATAATAATAACTATGATGAAAATTCAAAATATTCTATTGTAAACTTATGATAAATAATATTTTAAAGATAAATATCTACATAAATAAAAAGTTGAACATTCTTTTTTGTTTAGTATTTTCTTGGTGATATTTGTATTTTTGTCACAGGATATGATGGTAATGGTGGTCGTGCTGTTGTTGTCGTTGTTGCTTTTGTTTTTGTTCTTGGCGGTGCTGGTGGTGGCGGTGATGTTTGTTGTTGTTGAGACATGGCAGAGCTTGAAATAACAGATGTTGGTGTCATTGATGTCCAAAGAGTTGGATGAAGAATAGTAGCTGTTGCTGTATGAGGATGATATAATGTTCCAAATTGAGTTGTTGTTGTTGTTGTACCTGTTGGTGGTTCAAATAATGGATTAAGTTGAGATGAACCTAATGTAAATTGATGAAATGATGGTTGTCGACTTAATGCTGATATATCTTCATAGTTTTTTTCATCTTTTTGTTGATCATTAAGCCATCGACGTCGAATTGATGGCATAAGAAGAAAAATAAGAAATGCAGTTAATGTTATCATAAGAACGATACAAAATGAAGCTACAATAGTATTTGTTAAAACAAGATTTTCAAATATACGTTGACTGTTCAAGTAAGAAGGTAAAGTACTTATAACATCAATTTGTTTTTGTTCTTGTTTTAAAACAGTTGAATAAATTTTATTAGTGCTTAATATTGTTGTATTTATTGTAGTTCTAATAGTTGATGTTGTAATTGGTGCTCGAAAAATTGGAATGACAAATGTTGGTTGAGAAACATGAAAAAACTCGTTCAATGCTCGTCGTTTCAATGTCACATAATGCATTGCATACGTCTGTGTATTGATCAAATGTGTTTTAACGTCTTCTGACTTCTTTTCTTTTTTCAATAAATCTCGTCAAATTGTTTTTGTCGAAATTTGAAGGTTAGCATTTGAAATCGAACATAAAGATTTATATTGAAGGTATTGCAAAAGCCGATGAATGAATGTGATGATTACATCAATAAGTATAAGAAGGTTACATTCGATTGTATTAAATGTAAGAATTAACTTCTAGTAGAATGCAAAGAGAATTGTAAAGCTTCTGTTAATTGAGTCTTAGTTTGATTTCGATTAGTTGAAAATAATCACATGTTTTTCTTTTTTTGTTTCAATAGTAATAAAGATAATATTTCAATATTTGTCACTATTTGTGTCAATATTAAATACAGACAAATGATTTACTTCTTTCGAAAGAAAAATTAATAATTATGATTTACAACTAATTTTAGATCATTGTTTTTGCTATAAAATATCAAAGTTGATTATGTGAAATGTTCTTATTAGATAAAATATTCGTGATCTTTTATTTGTGAACGTAATCTAATTATTTTAAACACAAACAGCTGCTATGATTTATCAGTTCATTGTTATATATCCCAAGTCATTGACATAAAACACACACATATCTTATTCTATTTCAATGTATATAGTTCTTAAGACCCTGACATTCTTAGTGTTTCTGCTAATTAACGACCGATGGAAAGATAATTCCACTCATATACAATTAAGCAGTTGTTGCCAGTCATCTAGTTGTCATTGAAAACTAAAGAGAGTATACGTGTATGTGTGTGTCTGGTGTATGTCGCATTGTCTAAAATTTATGTTATTGTCCTTCAATTCTCATCATCATTATACACGTTGTCGTCTACCTTCAAAGATATCCGAATGAACAACTGACGATGTCAATCTCTCATCTGTGCATCATTGCGCGAAATAATTTTCAAAAAAGAAAAAATAGAAGAAAGATGTACACCTGTCAATAAGTCAATCAGATAGATGAAATCATCATGTAATATGAACACAAACGAATAATGATTAAAAATCATATTTTGAATAAAAAAAATTAAAGATAGATTTTATAATTGCTTATTTAGAAAAAAAAAAAGAAAACAAGAAGCCAGAGATTAGTCATATGTAAATAAATGAATATAGACGAAAGACACCTATTCGATTTCAAGCAATTCGTATGTTGAAGGTAATCATTTGATATTGTTAATCTGTTCTATTTGAAAATATTTATTTACATTAATTTATCGAATATTATTTTGAAAATACTTTTGATCAATAGATGATAAAACTAAATGTTAATATGATTGAAATGGAAATTGTTCTATCTTTGTAGGTGGTCGGATATTGAAATGATTAACACATGAGTGCACAGTAGCAATATGTTTATTTTGACGCCCAGCGACTATATGTATGTTATATACAATTGTCGATCAAAATGTCAGTTTCTTCTCAAAGCTTCTTATCCGCTTTAGTTCATGCTGTTAGAAGACTTTTAAACTATATTGTATGTGTATGTGTTTGTATGTTAAAGCATAATTTGTCTCGACCCAGCTAGCTGACATCGACACATACGACGTGCAAAAAGTCATGACTGATTGATGTGTATGTGGTCACTAGTCAACATCGTCATTGTCGATTGCATGCATGCAATCAAACGATTGTGATGAACACATACATACATACAGGGAAAGAAAAAGAATAAAGAAAGGAACTATAAATGAACATTAAAGAGTATTTCTTCTTCTCTTTCTCTCTGTTTCTCTCTCTCTCTCTCTTGCTGTCTCTCTTTGGTTATTGCACAGTTGCCGATGAAAAAAGAAAAAGATATTGATTGTATTTGCTTCAATGCAGAGTAACAGCAGCGAAAGAAGCCGATTTGAATCGATGCGTATAATCGAGTAGTACTACGTAGTAATAGTATTGTATGAGCAAGCAAGCACAGTAACATTCAATAATCGTTATCAGTCCAGCATGTAAGTACTCAACGCAAAGAAAAAGAGTGAAAGAGAAGAATAGCATTATTTGATCAACAACAATATACGATAAAGTGTTTTTTAAGTATAGAATTTGATTATTAAAATACGACAATTATCGATAACGTGTTCATTTGTTGTTCTTAGTTGAGCATGTTCAAACATTTTGTTCATATGAAAATCCTCCTTTACTCATTCCACTTGAACGAGACAAGGCGTGCTCAGATATATATGCACGCTATAATCATTAAATTTAACTCTTTTCTATAACGTTTCAAACAAACTGATTTTAGTATCTAGTCATCATGATCATCATCGTTTTTCTTCCGGTTCGTGTCTTGATTTCAGCGTTATCATCAGATTCTTTTTTTCTTTTTGTTGTTATGTTATGTAATAAAGAAGGTTTATGTTCAATGAACCGTAAAAACCAGACATACAATGATGATGACTCTTTTTCCTTTTTTTTTTTTTTTTTTTTTTCTTCTTACGGTTGTTTTATTCACAATCTCTTGAGAAGGTAAATTCGTCAACTTCTAAGGCGTTTTGATTGATGGAAGACAAGTGAAGAAATGATGATGCAATCATTGTACTAAATTCTTTTTTTTTTCTTTGTTGCTTTCGTTGATCAATTATTCAATGTTAGTGAACATAGGAAAAGAATAAGTTATATATGTATTTGTGTGAGTTGCACACATTTGATTAAGTGGACAAACAATACACATATAGGAAAAGGCGCAAGTCTGTCTAACTACTTGCACGCTGTCTCTCGTGCATGAACGAGCCCGAGTAAGTGACCAACTCCGGAAGTTTTCATTAATGTCTGTATAGAATGAGAACAAAAAAAAGGAACAAGTCAGGTCATCGTTGTCGCCTTCGTTCAATCATCATCAGGTTTCTTTTTTGACTGCCTTTATTCTCTTATTTCTGCTAATTTCTTTTATTTCCGAAAAATCACATCGATCATTCATTGTCTGCACGCGTGCGCCATCGTTGTTATTCGCATCAACAATATATATCTATGTATATAGAATCGTTTGATCAAGTCTGGTGAATGCAAACCGACGTTTGATCATATGCTTGTCTATAGATGTTCATGTCATTTTATTCAGTATAAAAAATAGAAGAGGAGGGATAGAAAAAAACATCACAATGAACAATCGTATAAACAGAACATCCTTGAATTGTCATCTGTTTGATGATGCTGACCATTATCCATTCCATAAAAAGAAACGTGCCCACAAAGATAATAGACGGAAACACAAATATCAATGTTATTATAATAGATAAACGACAGAGCAGGACACTATCAAATAGTCATGCATACGTGTTCATTTATATATATATATGTAAGAAAGACAAGAACGAATGTTATCCAATTATTTATTAATAATGAGTGTGATATTTTGCGGACAATTTGTTTTCTTTTTCTTTTTCTGTTTTAAATAAGACTTTTAGACGATTATTGTAACCTTCTCTTTAATTGTTCAGATATTTTAAACATTCGGATTAGTTTTTATGTAAGTATGTACAAATAAGATCAATAATGTCTATAGTTTGGATGAGAAATAGAACTCGTTAAAGGCTCTTACATGTCAGCATTCTTGTTCTCGATAATTTAACTAATCATCAAACGGTTTTTTCCTTTTTTGTCTCATGTGATTCTGGTGTTAGTAGTAGCCGTGGCCCGAAGGTCTTTTTTTCCATTCTGATCCATCTCCATTTTCTCATTTCATTCGTATTGGAATTGCAATTGAGTTGCATCATATATATATATATATATAGGAAGACACATTTTCTTTTTTTTCTTCTTCACTCGATCTTGCTTGAGGAAGAATGTGTCCTTTTTTTCTTCTTTTTCTCTCTCAAAGTTTGAAAATCAATTATTAAGCTTAGTCTTAATAGAAGTATGATACGAAACAGATTAGATAATAATTTTCCTTTCTATATGATAATAAGGATGACACGAACCAAAGGAGAACAAGAAAATGGTGTTTATAAAATTAGTTGAATGACTAGAGTCGGCCACTTAGCATCTGTGCATTTGACATCACAAGTGTTGCCACACGGGGACGATTGAGTTATATGTTGTTTGTTTATCTGAAAAGTTCGTTTACATAATAACGAGAAAGAAAAGAGAAACAAGAAGAGTGTGAGAGAGAGAGAGAGAGTATACAAGAAAGATACACAATAGTATATGATGAAAAAAAAATGAGAAAAGGTCATAGAGCCACTACCCGAGGAAGCATTTTGAAGAAAAATTCTACAAACATTCATCTATCATCAATCTATTGGAGTTAGTTTGTCAGTCATTTGATTGAACAGATATCACTAGCAAATACGTCTCCAGCGGCGATACATATTATTATTATCTTGTCCTTTTCCCTAACACGGTAGGGCGGTATGTTAGAAAAATTCGATGGGTGGAGAAGAAGAAGAAGAAGAAGAAAAGAAAGTTTTTCGCTTTTAGAATCGTATAAAGTTTTTGTACGGAAAATATAAAATTCTTTATTATAATATTCCTTTTCTTCTTGGGTTAAAGACAGAAGCCATTTAAAAAAAGAATGTCTATATTCATCTTATAAAGGCCAAATAATTAAGTAGAGAAAAAAAATTCTTGACTCTATCATCAATATGTCAACATTTTTTCTACGTTTCTTTTGCATTGATAAAGTCATGATAAGAAGCAACTTCTTTTTCATTTCACTAAACACAATAATTCTTCTTTTCGTTCGAACAATATTTGATATTCAAAGAGAAGAAGAAGAAGAAAAAGTGTAAAAAACATCAAATAGAATAAAAAGAAATTAAATAGAAAAAAGATTATTTCTTAATGAAATCAGTAAATATTATATAAATATATGAATTACTTTTACTAATGAACATAAAGATTTAAAAATGTTAAGATTTATTGTAAGCATTTCTTGAAATAAGTAGCAGGTGTATTTAATAGGTGGTTAAGAAGTGTCGCGTCACTTTTTTAAGTTGGCAATCAAAATTCATCTAGTAATAATCGTCTTTTTG